CCTTGCCTTAACAAAATTTAACAAAATTGATAAAAAAAATTGTTTTGCATTTTTGTTATCTTCAGAAAATGGACTCTCAAAGATTTTTGACGAAGGAAAGTTAATTATTATCGATGGGGCAAGATGGGACTCCGTGGGATTTTGCCCCATCCTGCCCCATCGAATCCCATCGAGTCCAACGTGGGACCTCATGGGACTCGATGGGGCAAGATTATATGCAAGTTGGGGCAAAATCCGACGGAGTCCCATTGATTCCCATGGACTTCATGGGGCAAAATCCCAAAAGGTCCCACTAGGTCCCACGCCATGTTAAGTCTATGGAGGTCCCAACTTGTCCCATTGGTGTATACCGGGCTTTAGAGTATCATTAGCAAGTGGTACACATATAACAGAGATCGGTTATATACTGCATTGTCTGAGTATTGACAAATTGAAGTATACGTGTAAAAATCTACTATCATACATGTAACTGCGCAATGAGCCCTTCATAGCGTTTGTGCCAGCTATCAGGTGATACCCGGTCGTAAAGATAAGTGCGAGACTAACTCTCTTACTTTAATACTAGGAAAATATCAAATCATAGAACTGAAGGATGTCGGAGATTTCTCAAGCCTATATATCAGTTCAGATAATTTATCATCCACAATTTAGGATTGTGAACTGATGACATCATCAAAAAGTGTATATAACGATACATCCATTCATTTACAGTTAGAGGTCAACGAATAAAGAAGGAATGGTTCGCATCTAAATATTTCTAAAACGAACGTAAACAGGATTTAGCTGAAAATAAAAAATGCAAAATAACCTTTTCAATGATTTTCTTACAATTTTAACGCTTTCCTCCCCAAAGGGTATCAAATAATCATACAAACAAAATTGTTCAGTTTATAAATGCCATACATATTTTAAATGGCCATTTGCTACATTTTTAATATTCTGATAAAATCATTTTGCTCCCTAACATTGACTGCTCCCTAACATTGACAAGAGTTATTTTTTATTATTTTTTAAAAAATTGAATAAAAGACGGCGTATCTGTTTGAAGTAAGAAATATTTTAATCGGTATTTAGACTATCTTGGATAATAATTAGAAGCCTTCGTTAAATTACGTTAAAAAGTTATAATGGAAAAACGATCATTTTGAGTGTAGGGCGTTCGCGCCTTTTTTAGTAACTTCGTATTAGATTATAAAAGACTTCCGCCGAATTTAGTACAGAAGCGTGATTGACATTGTCATTGCATGTGCTAGTACATTTTCTCTGCGAATGAGCAGTTTTTCAGTAAAAAAATATTTTGTGTGAAAATATTGAAATTTATTGTAAAAACGACCTGCTCCCTAACATTGACCAAATCAGGCGATGACATCCCGTGAATACAGCATTGCCAAACATACTAAAATCTAAATTCAAAAGTTTTAAAATACATCTATGTAACCTGCCAACCTACTTATATGAGCATGCCTACTATCAATTAATGATCAGGACAATACATCTTCTTTGAAACTTTCTTAAGCTTAGAACATTTTTTATGATACCATGTTTGACATTCATGCTTTTTACTCACAAACTCACAGCCAACCATATCTTGTACTACATCAGCTTGGCCACATGGACAAAAACAACTTACTTGGAATGTTGATGTGGCAACTTTGGATAATTTTAATTTTTTCTTAGCCTGTTTTGGAAAGGGAAGAATTTTTTTCTCTGTTAAACAGGATACCAAATGTGATCTCATTTCTTTTTCTTCAAATACGACTCTACTTGTCCCATTGAACCCATTGAAGCAAAACTCAGTCATAAATGCAATAGAGAAGAGGCCACAATCATAACCATTATTTTGTTTTTGAACAGCTGGAATAATAACATCAAAATGGTTTACCCTATCTGGTTTATAAATCTGAGTTAATTAAATTTGTAAACTACTGTTAATGTCTTTTTTATTTAAGCTATCTAATAAATATACTTTGCCATCAGAATCTTGAATTGAAGTTACCCAATGAGAATTGCCATTATGATGAATCTGCACAGAAGGACCATTAGTTGAAATCATTGGAGTACACCAAGTGAACATATTTTTATTTGCTACATAAATGGGAGCATAGTTTGTTAATTGGAATCCGGAAATATTTTCAAATTGTCCAATTAGAACTGACTGAGCTGCATTAATTATCTGGTCATCTAACCATCCCTTTGGATTAAGAATAAGTTCATAATGTTGAGTTTTAAGAAAGTTAATATTATCTGCACCTTTGTCAACTGATTGAATTTCATTTTTTCCATTTCATTACTATCTTTACTACTATTTTCACATTTTAATTGAACATCTGATTTATTACTTAAATTATCATCACTGGCCATTCCATTGATTAAACTATTTGAAATTTCATCATGAAATATACAAAAGTTAGGATAAATATAAATGTTTCTATTTTTACATAAACTGTTTCAATATGGTCATTTGATTGCTTATTTCTTAAATTCAAAGTACTCACAAACATTACTGTTTTGACTGTATATGTAGTTGTGTTGTCGCGATGTGCCATAATCGTACATCGATGCATCAGCAATTTTCAATAGTAAACATCGATGCACATCGCGATGTACATCGAGAAAAAGTCTGAGAAAAGTGCACTGAAATACCAAACGTTAATGCTAACGCTAATTCTAATCAATAGAAATTGTTTTTTTGCTCATCTAATACCATCTTTGAAGGTAGGATCAATTAAAACATCAGATAATCCCATGTGATTATATCCCAGAACTTTGAGAGATGATTCCAATGTTTGGAAAAATCAAAAGTGTATTGTCTATTATTGTTCCTCTAATCACACCTTTGAAGGTATGATGAATGAAAATAATTAAATCTTAAAGGTAATAGGCCAAATAAATGGTCCGAATATCAATTGTCCAAATCCCTTTGGTCAGAAACCTAATGATCCTAAAATTAACAATTGTTGATATGATATTTAAATTTCAATACTGTACTCCTGGTCAATTTAGCAAGTTTTAATTCTGCAAATTTTGAGAAATCACAATTTACAATTTCGTGGCTCTATTTCACAAGTTTCAATTTCATATTCTCTGAATCATCAAGCTCTGTAAACTAAGTTACCCTATGTACAGTAATTACACCTACCCTATTTGGATATGGTACGATATACAATTACTTGCACCTCAGTCTTAAAATGGGAAATTTGCGAAGATTATTTTTCTGCGAAACAAAATCAAACAAAATCCAAATGAAAATTATCTGGAGTACAGTGTTTAAATTTAAATATCATGACAGAAAGACTTAATATAAGATTTTAGCTCAACCTATCTAAAACCTACATTCAATTCCATTTACCTAATATATTCGAATGATGTTAATCCCCTAAGTGCAGATTGACATGTAGGGAGTATGGTAACCACAAGAAATGCGAAATGTAATATTTTGAATAAGCATGGCAAAATGGATAATCTACATGTATGTTATTCAATAAACACACATCAATGTGATGTATTCCATGTTCACACATTTCTAGCATCTTTATCTTGATATTAAAATTAAGTTCAGACCAATGGGATTCAGACTATTGGGATTTGGATGAATGGGATTTAGACCAATGAGGCGACCCCTATGATAGACTAATACTTATAGATTAAGAGGATGGCAATTCTGTCACAGAGATTTGACAAACTAAAGCCACTAAAGAAATAGAAGTAAGGGAGTAGAAGAGATAATATAGACATCATACATGGAGCAAAGAAAGTTTGCATGCATACACTGAGTTACATGTGTAGCCTACAGGGGCCCACTTTGGACAAGACAAATTTGTCCCAATGCAATATGACCTTCACCGTTTCATACGAAACAGACGTTATGACCTTCACCGACACCGATTCATACGAAACAGTTATACATTACAAAACTTTTCGACAGGGTCCTCACTCTCTTTTTCCTTGGTACACATAGAGTGGAGGGCAGTGGATATATTTATTTCGGTCAATTCTACTTGTCCCAATGCCAGGTGTGGTCCCGCCTTGTGGTCCAAATCCTTAGGGAGCTAGAGAAAATCCTAATGGTCTGACCTGACCTTATGGCATGATGTGTCTAGGCTCTCTAGTGATTTATTGAAACCCAATTTTAGCTGAAATAACATTAGAAATATGCTTCATACAGTATATTCAATTCCTATCTATATAGGCCTATGCATAAAATTGAAAATATTTATGATTTTTTGTGGAAAATATTAGAGTTAGACTACTGTAGTTCTAGATCACAGGATCTTGTAGCACGTTTATGATGACTGATATGAGGCTGCCTGATATGGGAGACTGATATGCTTTATTATACTATAGGGCCTATCATAGTGCTCATCTCATATCATAGTGCTACATGTCTCTGTGTTCTAGATTACAAATCTAAAAAAAAAAAATACAAACTGATTTTATTTCCAATGTAACATGTCTAGATATCGAAGTTAGGTCTTTCCGACAACAGATATTGCACAATTTGCGTGTACACGACGAATATATCGCACTAGAAGTTTAACTTTGAAAATTTCAATAAAAAATGGCGACTCGAAAATTTTAACTCGTAACCGTTTCAAAATTTTAGTATTTTCTGCACAAATACATAATGCAGCGACTTATCCTTGACAATATTTATAATTAATATATTTACTTATATGTACACATTAAAATCTCTCGAGTAAAACACCAAACTTTCATGGTATTACTATTCCATTTCCAAGGGTCAAATCATGTGAAAATAAACCATGTGGCTTTTCTAATCGCGGGTCCAATCAGGGGGAAAACGAAACGTCCCCTTTGTATAGCTTTTGCCATATAACCTCAACAACTTAATGATGATATCCTAAATCAAACTAGATATTTCACTCTTTAGAAAATATTTATTATGGTATATTAGAATGCTTCTCTTTCTTCAAGGCTATGTCTCAAATGTTTTGCACTGAGTTCTATCTACACTTTAAGAATAATTCTAAAACACTTTTAGAATGCATACTAAATTAACTTTATTCATACAAACTTGATCAGTTTGTACACTTCATCATATAACATATTTAAAATAACTTAAATGTACAATAAAATCTCTGTAAAATGCATGAATGAATCTATAACCTATATTTTTCACCATCTGTTTAAAAATATACATCCTGCCTCTGTCAACAAAATTCTGTGCATTATCGTGGAATGTTGTTAAATGTTGATTATGGTGACTGTGTATTTCAATATTTCAGTACATGTAGATTAATAAATTCTGAAAAAATAAAGTTATGAGGATATGAGTTTCACTAAAATTTCTGACAAAAGTCAAAATAAATGAAAACAACAGACAAAATCATTGAAAATTATAATTTTAACATGAAAACACTTCATGAAAAACATTCATCATAACAGCAGACTACTTTTAGTAAAAAAAACAACCAGAAAAATCCACATGCTGTCTGCTATGAAATGAAACCCATCCGTGCTTTTTAAAGAAATACAGCCATGGACATCATCAAATATCATACATTCATCAATGCAGTGATCTCCCATGGGCTTTTTCTCTACCAAGTGCATCCTATGTCCTAATTTTAGCAGTTTTGGTTGAAATACCTCAAGATGGTAAAACTGTTTTTAGTAGAAACCTTTTTACTCTAAAAAGTATTTCACTTACAGAGGTTCATTAAACATAAACCAAGCCATGGGACTCTGAAAAGTGTTCTAATTACAGAGATTCATTTAACATAAGGTTAGTGAGGGGTTCCGAAGTGTTGAACTTAAAGAGGTGTTCCACTAACAGAAATGGTCAGCTTGACAGTTTCTACAGTATTTCATAGTTGGAACAGATTTTTAATTTTTCTAATTTTCGATAGGAGCATAGGAGCAGCACCCAATTGCTCTTATTCCAGGGAGAACACCGCAATGATTTGAATAAAATATAGCATGAGATAAATCACTTAGAAAAATGTTGATATTAAGACCTGTATAAAGGACAAAAAGGGGACTCACTATGGGAACCATCCCAGGCCCATGAAAGCCAAAATAAGGCCAAATCAAAGCTAATTATTCCAAGACAGGCTCAATAAAGCCAAAAGGGGCAATTTAGTCTCAAAAATGCCAAATCAGATCCAGTGATTGTATATTGTGAATGTTTATTTACAGGGGAGAAAAATGCAAGCAATAAGGCATCATTTATTTTCCTTAATGGATCGTGTAATTATCTATCACTGAACTGTGGCTGTGTGAAAACTAAATTAAAAAAAAGATAGGAGAGATTCACCATGGGGAGCCCCCTCAAGGTTTTTGAGGTTTGAGTTCAGACTTGCTGGATTTATACACCCAAATCTCCAAAACCAGACAGCCTTCTGTGTGGCACCCATCAGCAGTAATACATTAATGATTTACATTAATACATTTACTTAAAGCTAGAATCATAGTTATAGTGGCTACCAAATGTCAAGGATGTGGCAGCAGAAATACATTTACTTAAAGGCAGCATCAGAGTTATAGCACCAAGCAGTTATGAAATGGCATTTAACAAGTGCAGTTGACCAGGAACTATTGTATTTTTGACACCTCAAATACAGGCCTATCCAACTGTCCCGCAATTTGCGTATTTTGTCACACATTTGCTGGAAAGTTTGAAGTCAGAATATGTCACAAAAATATATGCATTTTACCTGATTATTGTCAAGCAAAAATATTTCTGTAGAAAACTTCAAAAAAGTGATTGCCGATACAGCAAAATAATGAACGCCAAAAAAAACCAACACATTTCGTTCAGACTTTCCCCCCAAATATTATCCCTAAAAAAGATCTGTTAAAGCAGATTAGTAATGGAAAATACTCTGGAGTTCAAGTGACATTGAATCCAATTTGGACTTAGTTGATGGAAATGTAGCTAAACTATTCCAAAAATTATTTTAAATAATGATAAGAAGGTTATAGAGAAAACACCCATCCACTTTGTCACCCATCCACTTTGTCATGTCTCTAAAATGAAGGCAAAATAATCCCAGCTAGTTAATTATTTCTATATATGTACAATGTACATGTGCATAACTTGTACTGCTAAGGGATTCACTGCTAAGGAGTGTACATGTATTGCTAAAGGGTGCCACACTCACGGTGATGTAGAAACAACGAACAAGCTCTACTAAAACGTAGAGACTTTTCTTTGATTAAACTTCAGAGAAAAATATTTCTTCCAAAACCTGAAATAAGTTGTAGGCTAATTGAAAATATTAAATTAATTTCCATATAGAATGTAACATACTGTCAACTTCTGGGTGAACACTTACTATTTAGTAAATAATCATATAATTCTAGTTTTGCAGTTTTTGGCGTTTTCCCGGAATTGAATAACCTTAGGTTGGGTGGTATGCATTTAATTTACGGTAGAACCCCAGGCCAGTAGCCAGGGGAGGGAGCGGTGTGGACAAAAAGTCTTTCAAAATTTTGCAGTTTTTCACAATTCTGAACTATTTCAAGTAATTGCAAATATTTAATGAAATATATAATAAATATGTGTATGTAATAATTTTTCATCTGAAATCTACTCAATGGTTGCTTGTTTTTACATCCGTACTAGTTAAGTTTCCAATGCAATAAATCAGTACAATTTAAAACTAATGTATGACTTGGTTGGTTAATATTTGATGTCCATTGTGATATTACTAATTGATTATCTTTTGAAAGATTATTTCAATCAAAGTAGAATGCACAGATAATGGTGAATATATTGATTGTATATTGATATATTGAATGCTCTTCGAGTGAGAGGGAAATGCTGGACAGTTAAAAGGTGAGGGGAGATACCCCAACTCAATAAAATGTTGGTTTGAAAGATTTCACTCATGTACTTAACACAAATTTTCCATGTTCATGTCCATGTATTTAGATTTCCATCTATTCAACAAGATTCAGGTCCTTAATGCGCTGTTTTCTTTCCCTTTGTTCTTTTTTCGTTGCCAATTCATTAATATATGGCAATCGTCTTGTCTTCTTTATGATTTTTACCAAACTCTCCTCAAAAACACATAATTTGACAGTCTTTGAAGGGACTTTTGGACAGAGTTCATCACAGGAGCTTCCTTCAATATCTGCTCTTTTCTCTATGAGAACTTCAATGCCCTTTTTGTTCAAGCGTTTGTCAACTACATCTCGTATTAAGGGATCTCGTTTTAGACGGTTTGTAACTTGCAGAAAGGATTTTTTGAAGATACGAAGCTGTAGGGCCAAATTTACAATTTTGGAGCACCAGCGTCGACAGTCTCGTTCTCCATCCATTTCATCATTTAGACTGTTTGGATGATGGGTGACATTTTCAACATAACCTTCTGGATCACTAGATTTCTGTTCATCACCTACTTTGGTGATATCAGGTGTATCTAAAGAACTCTCTTTTGTGTCAATAGATCTTTCATTAAGGTCACTTGATTTCTCAACAGTATCATTTGATTCTGTATCAATGTCAATAGATCTTTCATCAACATCAATAGATCTTTTTTCCTCACCTTCTTCAAGTTTCTTATTGACCAAACCAAGTTTTTCAAGTTTTTTAAGTCTTTTATTGACAACCCTATCAATGTATGGGACTCTCATTAGGGATCTCTCTAAGACAACCACTTCATTACTGAACTCGCAGAATTTGACCGCGACACCTGGAGCTCTATTGCATAAATCCAAACAATTCTGTTCTCTATCTGTCGGTGCCCTTTTTTGGAGTTCAAGTTCTCGTTTTACAGAATGCATTACATCTAAATCTATGTTGAACTGAAAACTAGGATGACTCAAGATGGTTCGTTTTCTTTTCTCTTCTGGGCTAGCAAGTCTTGCTTTGTAACGTGCCAGTTTTTTCTGGATGATTGTGCTAATCTCCGGTTCACTTTTGAATTTGGTAAGTTGGTTACTAAATGTGGTGTTGAAGTCAATCATTCTTTTGTAAACTTTGAATATTTTTTTGCAAGTTTTTTTACACTGATCAATTCTTGGATCTCTGGTTGAAGGCAGCACTGTTGTTGTTGTTGGTACTGTTGTGCTAGTAATTGTAGTAGTAGGTACTGTTGTACTAGGTTTAGGTGTAGAAGGCACTTTGGTACTTGGCTCAGGCGTTGAAGGAACCATTGTGCTGGGTTTAGGTGTAGAAGGCACTATGGTACTTGGCTCAGGCATTGAAGGCACTATTGTACTAGGTCCAGGTGTTGAAGGCACTATGGTACTTGGGGCAAGTGTTGAAGGTACTTTTGTACTAGTTTCAGGTGTTGGAGGCACTATTGTACTAGGTTCAGGTGTTGAAGGCACTATTGTACTTGGCTCAGATGTTGAAAGCACTATTGTAGTCGGCACAGGTATTGAAGGTACTATTGTACTTGGTTGATGTGGTGTTGAAAGCACTATCATGCTGGGTGCAGGTGTTGAAGGCACTATGGTACTTGGTTGAGGGGGAGTTGTAGGCACTATTGAACTTGGTTGAGGGGGAGTTGAAGGCACTTCAGTACTTGGTTGATGGGAAGTTGAAGGCAATATCGTACTTGGTTGAGGGGGAGTTGAAGGCACTATTGTACTTTGTTGAGGTGGAGTTGAAGGCACTTTGGTACTTGGTTGAGGGGGAGTTGAAGGAACAATTGTACTTGGTTGAATGGGACTTGAAGGCTGAATTGTACTTGGTTCATTTGTTGAAGGAACTATTGCACTTTTTGCATGTGTTGGAGGAACAAAAGTACTTGGTGCAGGTGTTAAACGCACTATTGTACTTGGTGCAGGTGTTAAACGCACTATTGTACTTGGTGCAGGTGTTGAAGGCACTATTGTACTGGGCTCAGATGTTAAAGGAACTATTGTACTTGGTGCAGGTGTTGAAGGGGCTATTGTACTTGGCCAAGGGGGTGTTAAAGGAACTGTTGTACTTGGCTCAGATGAGGTAGAGGATGTCTTTAAGGTTTGTTGACCTGGTGTTGTTTTTTCATAAACAGAAGTGGCATCTGTGTCAAAATTAGGTTGTCCACTGACTGGTGTTGTGATACCTTCTCTTATTATTGTGGCAAATGAGCTTGCCTGACTTGCCCTTGTAGGGACCACTGTAATAGGTTGCTCACTGACTGGTGTTGTGAAACCTTCTCTTTTTATTGTGGCGAATAAGCTTGCCTGACTTGCTCTTGTAGGGACCACTGTAATAGGTTGTTCACTGACTGGTGTTGTGAAACCTTCTCTTTTTATTGTGGCGAATGAGCTTGCCTGACTTGCTCTTGTAGGGACCACTGTAATAGGTTGTTCACTGACTGGTGTTGTGAAACCTTCTCTTTTTATTGTGGCGAATGAGCTTGCCTGACTTGCTCTTGTAGGGACCACTGTAATAGGTTGTTCACTGACTGGTGTTGTGAAACCTTCTCTTTTTATTGTGGTGAATGAGCTTGCCTGACTTGCTCTTGTAGGGACCACTGTAATAGGTTGTTCACTGACTGGTGTTGTGAAACCTTCTCTTTTTATTGTGGCGAATGAGCTTGCCTGACTTGCTCTTGTAGGGACCACTGTAATAGGTTGTTCACTGACTGGTGTTGTGAAACCTTCTCTTTTTATGGTGGCGAATGAGCTTGCCTGACTTGCTTTTGTAGGGACCACTGTAATAGGTTGTTCACTGACTGGTGTTGTGAAACCTTCTCTTTGTATTGTGGCGAATGAGCTTGCCTGACTTGCTCTTGTAGGGACCACTGTAATAGGTTGTTCACTGACTGATGTTGTGAAACCTTCTCTTTTTATTGTGGCGAATGAGCTTGCCTGACTTGCTCTTGTAGGGACCACTGTAATAGGTTGTTCACTGACTGGTGTTGTGAAACCTTCTCTTTTTATTGTGGCAAATGAGCTTGCCTGACTTGCTCTTGTAGGGACCACTGTAATAGGTTGTTCACTGACATGTGTTGTGAAACCTTCTCTTTTTATTGAAGCGAATGAGCTTACCTGACTTGCTCTTGTAGGGACCACTGTAATAGGTTGTTCACTGACTGGTGTTGTGAAACCTTCTCTTTTTATTGTGGCGAATGAGCTTGCCTGACTTGCTCTTGTAGGGACCACTGTAATAGGTTGTTCACTGACTGGTGTTGTGAAACCTTCTCTTTTTATTGTGGCGAATGAGCTTGCCTGACTTGCTCTTGTAGGGATCACTGTAATAGGTTGTTCACTGACTGGTGTTGTGAAGCCTTCTCTTTTTATTGTGGCGAATGAGCTTGCCTGACTTGCTCTTGTAGGGACCACTGTAATAGGTTGTCCACTGACTGGTGTTGTGAAACCTTTTCTTTTTATTGTGGCGAATGAGCTTGCCTGACTTGCTCTTGTAGGGACCACTGTAATAGGTTGTTCACTGACTGGTGTTGTGAAACCTTCTCTTTTTATTGTGGCGAATGAGCTTGCCTGACTTGCTCTTGTAGGGACCACTGTAATAGGTTGTTCACTGACTGGTGTTGTGAAACCTTCTCTTTTTATTGTGGCGAATGAGCTTGCCTGACTTGCTCTTGTAGGGACCACTGTAATAGGTTGTCCACTAACTGGTGTTGTGAAACCTTCTCTTTTTATTGTGGCAAATGAGCTTGCCTGACTTGCTCTTGTAGGGACCACTGTAATAGATTGTTCACTGACTGGTGTTGTGAAACCTTCACTTTTTATTGTGGCGAATGAGCTTGCCTGACTTGCTCTTGTAGGGACCAATGTAATAGGTTGTTCACTGACTGGTGTTGTGAAACCTTTTCTTTTTATTGTGGCGAATGAGCTTGCCTGACTTGCTCTTGTAGGGACCACTGTAATAGGTTGTCCACTGACTGGTGTTGTGAAACCTTCTCTTTTTATTGTGGCGAATGAGCTTGCCTGACTTGCTCTTGTAGGGACAACTGTAATAGGTTGTTCACTGACTGGTGTTGTGAAACCTAAACCTTCTCTTTTTATTGTGGTGAATGAGCTTGCCTGACTTGCTCTTGTAGGGACCACTGTAATAGGTTGTCCACTGACTGGTGTTGTGAAACCTTCTCTTTGTATTGTGGCGAATGAGCTTGCCTGGCTTGCTCTTGTAGGGACCACTGTAATAGGTTGTCCACTGACTGGTGTTGTGAAAACTTCTCTTTTTATTGTGGCGAATGAGCTTGCCTGACTTGCTCTTGTAGGGACCACTGTACTAGATTGTCCATTGACTGGTGTTGTGAAACCTTCTCTTATTATTGTGGTGAATGAGCTTGCAGTTGAAGGTACCATTGTACTAGGTGGTATTATTGTAGGTACTTTTGTACTAGGTGGACCTTTTTCATATGTTGTTGAAAGATATTTTGTTGAGGAAACCATTGTACTAGACACAATTTCATCACCCTTTTTCCTAATTGGTGCTCTTGTAATATGCTTACCATCTGTACTGGTCTGAACTATTGTTGGAGGCTTGACAGAGCTGGGCAATCCTGGTGTTGGAGGTACTTTTGTATTAGCTTGTGTTGTCCATGGTATCCAAGTAGTTTCTTTCTGATTTTTACCTGCTATTGAAGTCTTGGCTGTACTGGATAATCCTGGTGTTGAAGGTGCTTTTGTACTAACTTGTGTTGTCCATGGCATCCAAGTAGTTTCTTTCTGATTTTTACCTGCTATTGAAGTCTTGGCTGTACTGGATAATCCTGGTGTTGAAGGTGCTTTTGTACTAACTTGTGTTGTCCATGGTACCCAAGTAGTTTCTTTCTGATTTTTACCTGCTATTGAAGTCTTGGCAGTGCTGGATAATCCTGGTGTCGAAGGTCCTTTTGTATTAGCTTGTGTTGTCCATGGTATCAAAGTAGTTTCTTTCTGATTTTTATTATCTGCTATTGAAGTCTTGGCTGTACTGGGTAATCCTGGTGTTGATGGTGCTAGTGTAGTAAAGGAGAAAGGTGTTGTCCATGGTACCCAAGTAGTTTTTGTCTGACTTGTAATGGGTCCAATACAGAGGATCAAGATTAGCACACTAGAACTGACACGTTTCATCTGAAATGAAAAATGTGTAATTTAAAAAAATCGAAATTTATACTCAAGCTTAAAATTGAATGTGGATGACTTGAAAAAATTGATATGTTTGGTTTGTCTCAAAAATTCTTTCCTAGTAAGAGTAAAATAAAATTTTATAATATAAATGAAGTACATGTATTTGGTATCATGCCTATTTTCGGAAAAGACCATGCAGTTGTGAAAATTACAAACCTTTTATCTGTCTTTATCATACTCTGAGAATGCTCTGGAAACTGCATCAGTGTCTCCCAAACCTGCATCTGGTCTCTGAGTACTAGATTCTTTGAAGTGTTTTAATTTTTTGACAATGCTAAATGGCTGTTTACTTCACAAGACCTCATTTGAATATGTAGATTTTAAAATTTGACAATATAGTTGATGTTTCTATTGTTTCTTAATGTTCATTAATTTATCAGTATGTTATGTAAATCATTAAACTGGAATTGAAAGATTGTAATTAATATAAACATCAATAAGCAGAAATCTTATTGATGATCGAGAGTTCACATTGATTTTTTAAAATTATCACTATTGAAATACAGTAAAGCTTTTGTAATTGAAACATCTTTGGTGACTTTAAAAAGTCTTAAAACTTAAACTTACTTACAACCTACATACAGAGGTTCATTTAACATTAAGTAATTTGGTCATGGGACTTTGAAAAGTGTTCCAATTTTGGAGGTTTTCTACTTATACAGATTTGTTCCACTTAACATGTTTAACTGTACTTATTTGTCTTTTCCATTGTGTAAATCATATAAAGTTTTAAGTTTGATATAACTCCTTTACAATACTTTTCCACAATAGAAGTTAATGATGTTGCCCTTTGTGCAGTTATAATATAGAATGTAACCCATTTTCTCTTTGATTGCAGTGTTGAACGTCTATGTACACACACCCCTATTTTCTATGTAGAACTAGTACAAATTTTTGTTTTGCAAAATTTGCCTAGTAGACTATAGGCCCATATTTGCAAAACCTTGAACTTGCGACAATTTTTTCGGAACATGCTCTCAGTGCTTCTACTTTAAGGCTCTGTCATTAAAAATAACTATAAACCACATTTGAAATGCATACTAGTTAACTTTATTCATACAAACTTCTCAAGTTTGTACACGTCATCATATAACATATTTAAAATAACATACATGTATAAATATTATCTCTGTAAAATGCATGAATGGATCTTGTATAACCTATATTTTGCACATGCAGTTTAAAAATCTACATCCCACCTCCAACAAAATTCTGTGCATTATCATGGAGTGTCATTACATGTTGATCATGGTGGTATGTTAAGTATTTCAGTATATTATTGAATTTTGAAAAATTTGTCGAAAGTTGTGAGTAATAAATGAGGATGCACACATTTTTGTAATCATAATGAAAAACATAAACTGTTTTATTGTCTTTGCTATCACTTTCTATCTTGTTCTATCTTGTATTCTGAATGAATATACCTTAGACAATCAAATGATTTGTACAAAAACTTTATATTCTGAAAATGTTGATGCTTATTAAATTAATGATTTTAACATGAAAATGGTTGTAAAATTCCTCAAAACATCTTTTTTTAGTAAAAACAACCATGAAAATTGCATGTTGGGGATCCCCATGCCCCCTCCCCCCATAGGATGGCTTTAATGTAGGGCTTCAATTAGTAGGCCTTTTGGGCATTACTTGGCCTTTTTGGACCTTATTTTTAACTTGTTTTTCTGAATTGAAATGTACATCTGCCAGTGTTGCCTACTATGATTTGAAACCATTGTTAAAGTTGTAAATAAATACAGTCATGTACATCAACTAATATCATATATTCATCAATGTTGTGATCTCCCATGGGCCTTTTTCTACAGGGTGCTATGTCCTGATTTTAGCATTTTTTCAAATTACCTTTGTTAGTGGAAACTTTTAGAGGTCTCTTTGTGCTCTCAAATATGTTTCACAAAGGAGGTGTTCCATTTACAGAGGTTCATTTACAGCGATTTCCTTAGAATTTCTCACAACAGGCTAAATAAATGAAAACAGGCAGAATTAATGGAAATTTTGAATGTTATGAATTTAACATGGAAAAGTTGAAAAGTCCCTGAAAACAACGAGCGATTTTGTGAAAACAACCGGTGAAAATCGCCTGTTGCCTGTTGCTAATGAAACCCTTGATATAAAGTGGGCCATGGGACTCTGGACAGTGTAACACTTATGAAGATGCTTCATTTACGAAATATTTGGCTTGACAATTTCAACTGACATGATGCTAATAGATTTTCAACATGTTAGCCTATAGTTTTCAACTTTTCAATATGAGCAGCACTTGGTTGCTCTTATACCAGGGAGATCACTGCAATGATTAAAATAAATAGAATATAACATGAGATATTTCACTTTGAATGTCTTCTGATATTTAGACCTGTATAAAGGACAAAAAGGGGACTCAGGATGGACAAAAATGACCAGGTGGCTCAAGACTTTTTCAGGGGCAAAATAAGGATAGATAGGAGAGATTCACCATGGGAGCCCCCTCAAGGTGTTTGAGTTCAGACCTGCTGGATTTATACACCCAGATCTCCAAAACCAGGCATCCTTCTGTGTGGCACCCATCAGCAGTATTACATTTACTAACAGCAATAATACATTTACTTAAAGGCAGAATCATAGATATAGGGTTTGCAAAATTCCAAGGATGTACATGTACAGTTGACCTAGTTGTCCAGCTGTAATACATTTACTTAAAGGCAGCATCAGAGTTATATATAGCGGTTATAAAATTGCATATAACAAGTGCAGTAAACTAATTACCAATGAATTCTTTAACATCTGAAGTACATTGTCTCCCAAAAGATCTGTTGGCGCATAATAGATAAATAATGGATCAACTGTGGAATACAAGTGACATTGAATCCAAATGGACTTCTTGATAGAAATGAAAGTAACTATTCCAAAAATCATTGTGATGTGCCCACTCACTTTGTTTTGAAATTTCCAAAAAGCTCATGCCCATATCCTTTTCCAATTTTGATATCATTTTCCTCTATAATGAAGGAAAAATAATCTCAGCTAGTTAATTATATACATGTGTATAATTTGTACTGCTAAGGGATTCACTGCCAAGGAGTGTACTGCTAAAGGGTGCCACACTCACGGTGATGTAGAAACAATAAACAAACTCTACTAAAGCATAGAAACTTTTCTTTGATTAAACCTCAGACAAAAAATATTTCTTCCAAAACCTGAAATCTGGAATAAGTTGGAAATGAAAATATTAATAAACTGTATGGAACACAACATATTGTCCGCTTCTGGGTGACCACTTTCTATGTAGTTGATGTTACGATATGATTCTAGTTTGCAGTTTTCTTCTTTTTCATGGAATTGAATAACAGTAGGTTAGGTGGTATGCATTTAATTTATGGTAGAACCCCAGGCCTTTAGCCAGATCCTGACCAAAGATTCTTTCAAAGGATGAGTATCAATATTGTGTACTTTTTGAACACACGTTTCTCTTAAACCACTCATCAAAAAATTCTGAAAATTTTACACATCGTCAATTTAATGGTCATCTTTTGAATGGTAACAATTGAGTTTGAAAAAAATACATATACTTTTCTCTATATTGTTTTAGAAAACACATCAGACACTTCTTTTGTTCTTGATATCATATGTTCGGAATGAAATGAAACATCTATCCGAAGCTCATTGGAACAAAACAACAATATTGCAATTGTACAAAGGAAAGTTTGGTTGATTTAAAAAAATTCTTGTTAATGAAATAAAAGGTTTATCTTAATTTTTATCTATTTTCGGGAATTTGTTTAAATTTTCTGAATACTTTTTGTGAAATCAACCAAAATTTCCTTTGTATATCTAGAATATTGAAAGGTCTAAGAAAATGTTGAATATGCCAATTTGTTTGAACAAGGTTTGGAAAGACGTTTTATTTCATTCTGAAGAATTGGTAGAAAGGAACAAAAAACAAAACAAAAAAAAAAATGTAACAAAAACAGTTATATAAAATATAAATAAATAATTTTCGCATTAAATTGTTGTCATTCAGTCAACATTACATAAAGGACCATGTTTTTTACAAAATGTTTTCAATAATTGGTTTAAGAGAAAAACATTGTTGAATTCAGTTCACCATATCAATACCCATCCATTGTAGTTTTTCACCATTCTGTACATTTTTCAAGTTATTTTGGCCGAAATTTGAACTGTGAACCCCGTAGTATTTTTAGGAAAGTGAACTCTCCCTGTCAAAAGCTGGCTACGGGCCTGCACTCTCTCCTTGTGATATTATAGAATACTGCATCTGTGTTTGGATATGGAGAAGATTTTATCCAGAGCTGGAAAAAATACATTAAATCTTTCACATTGACAAATTTGCTATGTCTTTCATGTGTGCGTGTGTCAAGTTGTTGCACATGCAATCATGTTTGTTATAATTTTTTATCTGAAATCTACTCAATGGTTGCTCGTTATTTTTACATCCATACCAGCGAAGTTTCCAATGCAATAAATCAGTACAATTCAAAACTTTTGTTGGTTCATATTTGATGTCCATTGTGATATTTCTAATTGAGATCATTTCAATCTAAGTAGAATGGTAAATATTTTGATGCTCTTTGATGCTACCAATCAAATGATTGGTAGTTAAAAGGTGAAGGTAGATACACCAAATTCATAAAAATGTTGATTTGAAAAAGATTCCATGCATGTACTTAACACAAATTTTGAAAATGTCAATGTATTGAAATTTCCATCTATTCATCAAGAGTCAGGTCCTTTATGCGCTGTTTCCTCTCCCTTTGTTCCTTTTTCACTGCCAATTCATTAATATATGGCAATCGTCTTGTCTTCTTTATGATTTTTACCAAACTCTCTTCAAAAACACATAATTTGACAGTCTTTGATGGGACTTTTGGACAGAGTTCATCACACGAGCTTTCATCACTATCTGCTCTTTTCTCTACAAGAACTTCAATGCCCTTTTTGTTCAAGCGTTTGTCAACTACATCTCGTATTAAGGGATCTCGTTTTAGACGGTTTGTAACTTGCAGAAAGGATTTTTTGAAGATATGAAGCTGTAGTGCCAAATTCACGATTTTGGAGCACCAGCGTCGACAGTCTCGTTCTCCATCCACTTCATCATTTAGACTGTTTGGATGATGGGTGACATGTTCAATATAGCCTTCTGGATCACTAGTTTTCTGTCCATCACCTACTTTGGTGAGATCAGGTGTATCTAAAGAGCTCTCTTTTGTGTCAATAGATCTTTCATTAAGGTCACTTGATTTCTCAACAATATCATTTGATTCTGTATCAATGTCAATAAATTTTTCCTCAACGTCAATAGATCTTTTTTCCTCACCTTCTTCAAGTTTCTTATTGACCAAACCAAGTTTTTCAAGTTTATTAAGTCTTTTATTGACAACCCTATCAATGTATGGGACTTTCATTAGGGATCTATCCAAGACAACCACTTCATTACTGAACTCACAGAATTTGACAGCGACACCTGGAGCTTTATTGCATAAATCCAAACAATTCTGTTCTCTGTCTGTAGGTGCCCTTTTTTGGAGTTCAAGTTCTCGTTTTACAGAATGCATTACATCTAAATCTATGTTGAACTGAAAACTAGGATGACTCAAGATGGTTCGTTTTCTTTTCTCCTCTGGGTTTGCAAGTCTTGCTTTGTAACGTGCCAGTTTTTTCTGAACGATTGTGCTAATCTCCGGTTCACTTTTGAATTTGGTAAGTTGGTTACCAAATGTGGTGTTGAAGTCAATCATTCTTTTGTAAACTTTGAATATTTTTTTGCAAGTTTTTTTACACTGATCAATTCTTGGATCTCTGGTTGAAGGCAGCACTGTTGTTGTTGTTGGTACTGTTGTGCTAGTAATTGTAGAAGTAGGTACTGTTGTACTAGGTTTAGGTATAGAAGGCACTATGGTACTTGGCTCAGGCGTTGAAGGCACAATGGTACTTGGTGCAAGTGTTGAAGGTACTTTTGTGCTAGGTTCAGATGTTTGAGGCACTATTGTACTAGGTTCAGGTGTTGAAGGCACCATTGTACTTGGCTCAGATGTTGAAAGCACTATTGTACTTGGCACAGGTGTTGAAGGTACTATTGTACTTGATTGAGGTGATGTTGAAAGCACTATTGTGCTGGGTGCAGGTGTTGAAGGCACTATGGTACTTGGTTGAGGGGGAGTTGTAGGCACTATTGAACTTGGTTGAAGGGGAGTTGAAGGCACTTTGGTACTTGGTTGATGGGAAGTTGAAGGCAATATCGTACTTGGTTGTGGAGGAGTTGAAGGCACTTTTGTACTTGGTTGAGGGGGAGTTGAAGGCAATATTGTACTTGGTTGAGGGGGAGTTGAAGGCACTATTGTACTTGGTTGAGGGGGAGTTGAAGGCACTATTGTACTTGCTTGAGGGGGAGTTGAAGGCACTTTGGTACTTGGTTGAGGGGGAGTTGTAGGCACTATTGTACTTGGTTGAGGGGGAGTTGAAGGCACTATTGTACTTGGATGAGAGGGAGTTGAAGGCACTATTGTACTTGGTTGAGGGGGAGTTGAAGGCACTATTGTACTTGGTTGAGGGGGAGTTGAAGGCACTTTGGTACTTGGTTGAGGGGGAGTTGTAGGCACTATTGTACTTGGTTGAGGATGAGTTGAAGGCACTTTGGTACTTGGTTGAGGGGGAGTTGAAGGCAATATTGTACTTGGTTGAGGGGGAGTTGAAGGAACTATTGAACTTGGTTGAGGGGAAGTTGAAGGCACTATTGTACTTGGTTGAGGGGGAGTTGAAGGCATTTTGGTACTTGGTTGAGGGGGAGTTGTAGGTACTTTTGTACTTGCTTGAAGGGGAGTTGAAGGCACTATTGTACTTGGTTGAGGGGGAGTTGAAGGCACTTTGGTACTTGGTTGAGGGGGAGTTGAAGGCACTATTGTACTTGGTTGAGGGGGAGTTGAAGGAACATTGGTAGTTGGTTGAGGGGGAGTTGTAGGCACTATTGTACTTGGTTGAGGGGGAGTTGAAGGCACTTTGGTGCTTGGTTGAGGGGGAGTTGTAGGCACTATTGTACTTGGTTGAGGGGGAGTTGAAGGCACTTTGGTACTTGGTTGAGGGGGAGTTGTAGGCACTATTGTACTTGGTTGAGGCGGAGTTGAAGGCACTTTGGTGCTTGGTTGAGGGGGAGGTGAAGGCACTTTGGTACTTGGTTGAGGGGGAGTTGGAGGCAATATTGTACTTGGTTTAGGTGGAGTTGAAGGCACTTTGGTACTTGGTTGAGGGGGAGTTGAAGGCACTATTGTACTTGGTTGAGGGGGAGTTGAAGGCACTTTGGTACTTGGTTGAGGGGGAGTTGTAGGCACTATTGTACTTGGTTGAGGGGGAGTTGAAGGCACTTCGGTGCTTGGTTGAGGGGGAGTTGTAGGCACTATTGTACTTGGTTGAGGGGAAGTTGAAGGCACTTTGGTACTTGGTTGAGGGGGAGTTGTAGGCACTTTTGTACTTGGTTGAGGGGGAGTTGAAGGAACTTTGGTGCTTGGCTGAGGGGGAGTTGTAGGCACTGTTGTACTTGGTTGAGGGGGAGTTGAAGGCACTTTGGTACTTGGTTGAGGGGGAGTTGAAGGCAATATTGTACTTGGTTGAGGGGGAATTGAAGGCAATATCGTACTTGGTTGAAGGGGAGTTGACGGCACTATTGTACTTGGTAAAGGGGGAGTTGAAGGCACTTTGGTACTTGGTTGAGGGGGAGTTGAAGGCACTATTGTACTTGGTTGAGGGGGACTTGAAGGCTGAATTGTACTTGGTTCATTTGTTAAAGGAACTATTGTACTTGTTGCAGGTGTTGTAGGAACAAAAGTACTTGGTGCAGGTGTTGAACGCACTATTGTACTTGGTGCAGGTGTTGAAGGCACTATTGTACTGGGCTCAGATGTTGAAGGAACTATTGTACTTGGTGCAGGTGTTGAAGGCCCTATTGTACTGGGCCAAGGGGGTGTTAAAGGAACTGTTGTACTTGGCTCAGATGAAGTTGAGGATGTCTTTAAGGTTTGTTGACCTGGTGTTGTTTTTTCATAAACAGAAGTGGCATCTGTGTCAAAATTAGGTTGTCCACTGACTGGTGTTGTGAAACCTTCTCTTATTAGTGTGGCGAATGAGCTTGCCTGACTTGCTCTTGTAGGGACCACTGTACTAGGTTGTCCACTGACTGGTGTTGTGAAACCTTCTCTTATTATTGTGGCGAATGAGCTTGCCTGACTTGCTCTTGTAGGGACCACTGTACTAGGTTGTCCATTGACTGGTGTTGTGAAACCTTCTCTTTTTATTGTGGCGAATGAGCTTGCCTGACTTGCTCTTGTAGGGACCACTGTACTAGGTTGTCCACTGACTGGTGTTGTGAAACCATCTCTTATTATTGTGGCGAATGAGCTTGCCTGACTTGCTCTTGTAGGGACCACTGTACTAGGTTGTCCATTGACTGGTGTTGTGAAACCTTCTCTTTTTATTGTGGCGAATGAGCTTGCTGTTGAAGGTACCATTGTACTAGGTGGTATTATTGTAGGTACTTTTGTACTAGGTGGACCTTTTTCATATGTTGTTGAAAGATATTTTGTTGAGGAAACCATTGTACTAGACACAATTTCATCACCCTTTTTCCTAATTGGTGCTCTTGTAATATGCTTACCATCTGTACTGGTCTGAACTATTGTTGGAGGCTTGACAGAGCTGGGCAATCCTGGTGTTGGAGGTACTTTTGTATTAGCTTGTGTTGTCCATGGTATCCAAGTAGTTTCTTTCTGATTTTTACCTGCTATTGAAGTCTTGGCTGTACTGGATAATCCTGGTGTTGAAGGTGCTTTTGTACTAACTTGTGTTGTCCATGGCATCCAAGTAGTTTCTTTCTGATTTTTACCTGCTATTGAAGTCTTGGCTGTACTGGATAATCCTGGTGTTGAAGGTGCTTTTGTACTAACTTGTGTTGTCCATGGTACCCAAGTAGTTTCTTTCTGATTTTTACCTGCTATTGAAGTCTTGGCAGTGCTGGATAATCCTGGTGTCGAAGGTCCTTTTGTATTAGCTTGTGTTGTCCATGGTATCAAAGTAGTTTCTTTCTGATTTTTATTATCTGCTATTGAAGTCTTGGCTGTACTGGGTAATCCTGGTGTTGATGGTGCTAGTGTAGTAAAGGAGAAAGGTGTTGTCCATGGTACCCAAGTAGTTTTTGTCTGACTTGTAATGGGTCCAATACAGAGGATCAAGATTAGCACACTAGAACTGACACGTTTCATCTGAAATGAAAAATGTGTAATTTAAAAAAATCGAAATTTATACTCAAGCTTAAAATTGAATGTGGATGACTTGAAAAAATTGATATGTTTGGTTTGTCTCAAAAATTCTTTCCTAGTAAGAGTAAAATAAAATTTTATAATATAAATGAAGTACATTTATTTGGTATCATGCCTATTTTCGGAAAAGACCATGCAGTTGTGAAAATTACAAACCTTTTATCTGTCTTTATCATACTCTGAGAATGCTCTGGAAACTGCATCAGTGTCTCCCAAACCTGCATCTGGTCTCTGAGTACTAGATTCTTTGAAGTGTTTTAATTTTTTGACAATGCTAAATGGCTGTTTACTTCACAAGACCTCATTTGAATATGTAGATTTTAAAATTTGACAATATAGTTGATGTTTCTATTGTTTCTTAATGTTCATTAATTTATCAGTATGTTATGTAAATCATTAAACTGGAATTGAAAGATTGTAATTAATATAAACATCAATAAGCAGAAATCTTATTGATGATCGAGAGTTCACATTGATTTTTTAAAATTATCACTATTGAAATACAGTAAAGCTTTTGTAATTGAAACATCTTTGGTGACTTTAAAAAGTCTTAAAACTTAAACTTACTTACAACCTACATACAGAGGTTCATTTAACATTAAGTAATTTGGTCATGGGACTTTGAAAAGTGTTCCAATTTTGGAGGTTTTCTACTTATACAGATTTGTTCCACTTAACATGTTTAACTGTACTTATTTGTCTTTTCCATTGTGTAAATCATATAAAGTTTTAAGTTTGATATAACTCCTTTACAATACTTTTCCACAATAGAAGTTAATGATGTTGCCCTTTGTGCAGTTATAATATAGAATGTAACCCATTTTCTCTTTGATTGCAGTGTTGAACGTCTATGTACACACACCCCTATTTTCTATGTAGAACTAGTACAAATTTTTGTTTTGCAAAATTTGCCTAGTAGACTATAGGCCCATATTTGCAAAACCTTGAACTTGCGACAATTTTTTCAGAACATGCTCTCAGTGCTTCTACTTTAAGGCTCTGTCATTAAAAATAACTATAAACCACATTTGAAATGCATACTAGTTAACTTTATTCATACAAACTTCTCAAGTTTGTACACGTCATCATATAACATATTTAAAATAACATACATGTATAAATATTATCTCTGTAAAATGCATGAATGGATCTTGTATAACCTATATTTTGCACATGCAGTTTAAAAATCTACATCCCACCTCCAACAAAATTCTGTGCATTATCATGGAGTGTCATTACATGTTGATTATGGTGGTATGTTAAGTATTTCAGTACATTATTGAATTTTGAAAAATTTGTCGAAAATTGTGAGTATTAAATGAGGATGCACAATTTTTTGTAATCATAATAAAAAACATCAACTGTTTTATTGTTTTTGCTATCACTCTCTATCTTGTATAAAGCAAAAATGATTTTAAATCTGAATGAATATACCTTAGACAATCAAATGATTTGTACAAAAGCTTTATATTCTGAAAATGTCGAAGCTTTTCAAAATAATGATTTTAACATGAAAATGGTTGTAAAATTCCTCAAATGGAAATTGCACATTGGAGATCCCCATGCCCCCCATTAGATGGCTTCAATGTAGGGCTTCAATTTGTAGGCCTTTTGAGCATTAATTGGCCTTTTGGGCCTTATTTTTAATTTGGGCTCAACTTGTTTTTCTGAATTGAAATGTACATCTGCCAGTGTTGCTGCCTGCTATGATTTGAAACCCATGTGAGCTAAAGTTGTAAATAAATACAGTCATGTAGTACATCTACAAAGACCATACAACTTGGAATCTACATTGTACATTCATCAATGTGGTGATCTCCCATAGGTCTTTTTCGACAGGGTGCTATGTCCTGAATTCAGCAGTTTTGGTCAAATTACCTCAAGACAGTAAAACCTGTGTTAGTAGAAACCTTTAGAGGTCTCTTTGTGCTCTCAAAAAGTGTTAAAAACAGGCAAAATTAATGGAAATTATGAATTTAACATAAAAGTTGAAAAATCCCTGAAAACAACAGGCGATTTTGTGAAAACAACCAGTGAAAATCACCTGTTGCCTGGTGCTAATGAAACCCCTGAATTATAAAGTGGGCCATGGGACTCTGGACAGTGTAACACTTATGAAAGTGCTTCATTTACAGAAATATTTGGCTTGACAATTTCAACTGACATGATGCTAATAGATTTTCAACATGTTAGCCTATAGTTTTCAACTTTTCAATATGAGCAGCACTTGGTTGCTCTTATACCAGGGAGATCACTGCTATGATTAAAATAAATAGAATATAACATGAGATATTTCACCCAGAATGTCTTCTGATATTTAGACCTGTATAAAGGACAAGAAGGGGACTCAGGATGGAATAAAATGACCAGGTGGCTCAAGACTTTTTCAGGGGCAAAATAAGGATAGATAGGAGAGATTCACCATGGGGAGCCCCCTCAAGGTTTTTGAGGTTTGAGTTCAGACCTGCTGGATTTATACACCCAGATCTCCAAAACAAGGCAGCCCTCTGTGTGGCACCCATCAGCAGTATTACATTTACTAAAAGCAATAATACATTTACTTAAAGGCAGAATCATAGATATAGGGTTTGCAAAATTCCAAGGATGTACATGTACAGTTGACCTAGTTGTCCAGCTGTAATACATTTACTTAAAGGCAGCATCAGAGTTATATATAGCGGTTATAAAATTGCATATAACAAGTGCAGTAAACTAATTACCAATGAATTCTTTAACATCTGAAGTACATTGTCTCCCAAAAGATCTGTTGGCGCATAATAGATAAATAATGGATCAACTGTGGAATACAAGTGACATTGAATCCAAATGGACTTCTTGATACAAATGAAAGTAACTATTCCAAAAAACATTGTGATACACCCATTCACTTTGCCTGAAATTTCCAAAAAGCTCACTCCCATATCCTTTTCCAATTTTGACATTACTTTCCTCTCTAACTAAGGAAAAATAATCTCAGCTAGTTAATTATTATACATGTGTATAATTTGTACTGCTAAGGGATTCACTGCTAAGGAGTGTACTGCTAAAGGGTGCCACACTCACGGTGATGTAGAAACAAAAAACAAACTCTACTAAAACATAGAGACTTTTCTTTGATTAAACCTCAAACAAAAAATATTTCTTCCAAAACCTGAAATCTGGAATTGGAAATGAAAATATTCAATAAATTTCTGTATGGAACACAACATACTGTCTGCTTCTGGGTGACCACTTACTATGTAGTTGATGTTACGATATGATTCTAGTTTGCAGTTTTCTTCTTTTTCATGGAATTGAATAACAGAAGGTTGGGTGGTATGCATTTAATTTATGGTAGAACCCCAGGCCTTTAGCCAGATCCTGACCAAAGGATGAGTATCAATATTGTGTACTTTTTGAACACAAGTTTCTCTTAAACCACTCATCAAAAAATTCTGAAAATTTTACACATCGTCAATTTAATGGTCATCTTTTGAATGGTAACAATTGAGTTTGAAAAAAATACATATACTTTTCTCTATATTGTTTTAGAAAACACATCAGACACTTCTTTTGTTCTTGATATCATATGTTCGGAATGAAATGAAACATCTATCCGAAGCTCATTGGAACAAAACAACAATATTGTAATTGTACAAAGGAAAGTTTGGTTGCTTTAAAAAAAATCTTGTTAATGAAATAAAAGGTTTATCTTAATTTCTATCTATTTTGGGGAATTTGTTTAAATCTTTTGAATACTTTTTGTGAAATCAACCAAAATTTCCTTTGTATATCTAGAATATTGAAAGGTTTAAGAAAATGTTGAATATGCCAATTTGTTCGAACAAGGTTTGGAAAGACATTTTATTTCATTCTGAAGAATTGGTAGAAAGGAACAAAAAACAATTGCACGAAAAAAAAAATGTTAACAAAAACAGTTATATAAAATATAAATAAATAATTTTCGCATTAAATTGTTGTCATTCAGTCAACATTACATAAAGGACCATGTTTTTTAACAGAAGGTTTTCAATAATTGGTTTAAGAGAAAAACATTGTTGAATTCAGTTCACCATATCAATACCCATCCATTGTAGTTTTTCACCATTCTGTACATTTTTCAAGTTATTTTGGCCGAAATTTGAACTGTGAACCCCGTAGTATTTTTAGAAAAGTGAACTCTCCCTGTCAAAAGCTGGCTACGGGCCTGCACCATCTCCTTATGATATAATAGAATACTGCATCTGTGTTTGGATATGGAGAAGATTTTATCCAGACCTGGAAAAAATACATTAGATCTTTCACATTGACAAATTTGCTATGTCGTTCATGTGTGCCTGTCTTAAATATTTCAAGTAGTTGCATTACACAATCATGTATGTTATAATTTTTGTCTGAAATCTACTCAATGGTTGCTTGTTATTTTTACATCCATACCAGCGAAGTTTCCAATGCAATAAATCAGTACAATTCAAAACATTGTTGGTTCATATTTGATGTCCATTGTGATATTTCTAATTGAGATCATTTCAATCAAAGTAGAATGGTAAATATTTTGATGCTCTTTGAGCAAGAGGGAAATGATTGGCAGTTAAAAGGTGAAATTCATAAAAATACTGGTTTAAAAGATTCCATGCATGTACTTAACACAAATTTTGAAAATGTCCACGTATTGAGATTTCCATCTATTCATCAAGAGTCAGGTCCTTTATGCGCTGTTTCCTCTCCCTTTGTTCCTTTTTCACTGCCAATTCATTAATATATGGCAATCGTCTTGTCTTCTTTATGATTTTTACCAAACTCTCTTCAAAAACACATAATTTGACAGTCTTTGATTGGACTTTTGGACAGAGTTCATCACACGAGCTTTCATCACTATCTGCTCTTTTCTCTACGAGAACTTCAATGCCCTTTTTGTTCAAGCGTTTGTCAACTACATCTCGTATTAAGGGATCTCGTTTTAGACGGTTTGTAGCTTGCAAGAAGGATTTTTTGAAGATATGAAGCTGTAGTGCCAAATTCACGATTTTGGAGCACCAGCGTCGACAGTCTCGTTCTCCATCCACTTCATCATTTAGACTGTTTGGATGATGGGTGACATGTTCAATATAGCCTTCTGGATCACTAGATTTCTGTCCATCACCTACTTTGGTGAGATCAGGTGTATCTAAAGAGCTCTCTTTTGTGTCAATAGATCTTTCATTAAGGTCACTTGATTTCTCAACAATATCATTTGATTCTGTATCAATGTCAATAAATTTTTCCTCAACGTCAATAGATCTTTTTTCCTCACCTTCTTCAAGTTTCTTATTGACCAAACCAAGTTTTTCAAGTTTATTAATTCTTTTATTGACAACCCTATCAATGTATGGGACTCTCATTAGGGATCTATCTAAGACAACCACTTCATTACTGAACTCACAGAATTTGACAGCAACACCTGGAGCTTTATTGCATAAATCCAAACAATTCTGTTCTCTATCTGTTGGTGCCCTTTTTTGGAGTTCAAGTTCTCTTTTTACAGAATGCATTACATTTAAATCCATGTTGAACCGAAAACTAGGATGACTCAAGATGGCTCGTTTTCTTTTCTCTTCTGGGCTTGCAAGTCTTGCTTTGTAACGTGCCAGTTTTTTCTGAACGATTGTGCTAATCTCTGGTTCACTTTTGAATTTAGTAAGTTGGTTACCAAATGTGGTGTTGAATTCAATCATCTTTTTGTAGACACTGTACATTTTACTACAGGTCCTTTTACACTGATCAATTCTTGGATCTCTGGTTGAAGGCAGCACTGTTGTTGTTGTTGGTACTGTTGTGCTGGTAATTGTAGAAGTAGGTACTGTTGTGCTAGTAATTGTAGTAGTAGGTACTGTTGTACTAGGTTTAGGTGTTGAAGGCACTATGGTACTTGGCTCAGGCGTTGAAGGCACTATGGTACTTGGTGCAAGTGTTGAAAGTACTTTTGTACTAGATTCAGGTGTTGGAGGCACTATTGTACTAGGTTCAGGTGTTGAAGGCACTATTGTACTTGGCACAGGTGTTGAAGGTACTATTGTACTTGGTTGAGGTGGTGTTGAAAGCACTATTGTGCTGGGTGCAGATGTTGAAGGCACTATGGTACTTGGTTGAGGGGGAGTTGTAGGCACTATTGTACTTGGTTGAGGGGGAGTTGAAGGCACTTCGGTACTTGGTTGATGGGAAGTTGAACGCAATATCGTACTTGGTTGTGGAGGAGTTGAAGGCACTATTGTACTTGGTTGAGGGGGAGTTGAAGGCACTATTGTACTTGGTTGAGGGGGAGTTGAAGGCACTTTGGTACTTGGTTGAGGGGGAGTTGTAGGCACTATTGTACTTGGTTGAGGGGGAGTTGAAGGCACTATTGTACTTGGTTGAGGGGGAGTTGAAGGCACTTTGGTACTTGGTTGAGGGGGAGTTGAAGGCACTATTGTACTTGGTTGAGGGGGAGTTGAAGGCACCTTGGTACTTGGTTGAGGGGGAGTTGTAGGCACTATTGTACTTGGTTGAGGAGGAGTTGAAGGCACTTTGGTACTTGGTTGAGGGGGAGTTGAAGGCAATATTGAACTTGGTTGAGGGGGAGTTGAAGGAACTATTGAACTTGGTTGAGGGGAAGTCGGAGGCACTATTGTACTTGGTTGAGGGGTAGTTGAAGGCATTTTGGTACTTGGTTGAGGGGGAGTTGTAGGCACTTTTGTACTTGGTTGAGGGGGAGTTGAAGGTACTATTGTACTTGGTTGAGGGGGAGTTGAAGGCACTATGGTACTTGGTTGAGGGGGAGTTGAAGGCACTTTTGTACTTGGTTGAGGGGGTGTTGAAAGCACTTTGGAACTTGGTTGAGGGGGAGTTGTAGGCACTATTGTACTTGGTTGAGGGGGAGTTGAAGGCACTTTGGTGCTTCGTTGAGGGGGAGTTGTAGGCACTATTGTACTTGGTTGAGGGGGAGTTGAAGGCACTTTGGTACTTGGTTGAGGGGGAGTTGTAGGTACTATTGTACTTGGTTGAGGGGGAGTTGAAGGCACTTTGGTGCTTGGTTGAGGGGGAGTTGAAGGCATTTTGGTACTTGGTTGAGGGGGAGTTGAAGGCAATATCGTACTTGGTTGAGGAGGAGTTGAAGGCACTATTGTACTTGGTAAAGGGGGAGTTGAAGGCATCATTGTACTTGGTTTAGGTGGAGTTAAAGGCACTTTGGTACTTGGTTGAGGGGGAGTTGAAGGCACTATTGTACTTGGTTGAGGGGGAGTTGAAGGCACTTTGGTACTTGGTTGAGGGGGAGTTGTAGGCACTTTTGTACTTAGTTGAGGGGGAGCTGAAGGCACTTTGGTGCTTGGTTGAGGGGGAGTTGTAGGCACTATTGTACTTGGTTGAGGGGGAGTTGAAGGCACTTTGGTACTTGGTTGAGGGGGAGTTGTAGGCACTATTGTACTTGGTTGAGGGGGAGTTGAAGGTACTTTGGTGCTTGGTTGAGGGAGAGTTGTAGGCACTATTGTACTTGGTTGAGGGGGAGTTGAAGGACCTTTGGTACTTGGTTGAGGGGGAGTTGAAGGCAATATCGTACTTGGTTGAGGGGGAGTTGAAGGCAATATTGAACTTGGTTGAGGGGGAGTTGAAGGCACTATTGTACTTGGTAAAGGGGGACTTGAAGGCACTATTGTACTTGGTTGAGGGGGAGTTGAAGGCACTATTGTACTTGGTTGAGGGGGACTTGAAGGCTGAATTGTACTTGGTTCATTTGTTGAAGGAACTATTGTACTTGTTGCAGGTGTTGAAGGAACAAAAGTACTTGGTGCAGGTGTTGAAGGCACTATTGTACTGGGCTCAGATGTTGAAGAAACTATTGTACTTGGTGCAGGTGTTGAAGGCCCTATTGTACTGGGCCAAGGGGGTGTTAAAGGAACTGTTGTACTTGGCTCAGATGAAGTTAAGGTTTGTTGACCTGGTGTTGTTTTTTCATAAACAGAAGTGGCATCTGTGTCAAAATTAGGTTGTCCACTGACTGGTGTTGTGAAACCTTCTCTTATTATTGTGGCGAATGAGCTTGCCTGACTTGCTCTTGTAGGGACCACTGTACTAGGTTGTCCACTGACTGGTGTCGTGAAACCTTCTCTTTTTATTGTGGTGAATGAGCTTGCCTGACTTGCTCTTGTAGGGACCACTGTACTAGGTTGTCCACTTACTGGTGTTGTGAAACCTTCTCTTATTATTGTGGCGAATGAGCTTGCCTGACTTGCTCTTGTAGGGACCACTGTACTAGGTTGTCCACTGACTGGTGTCGTGAAACCTTCTCTTTTTATTGTGGCGAATGAGCTTGCCTGACTTGCTCTTGTAGGGACCACTGTACTAGGTTGTCCACTGACTGGTGTTGTGAAACCTTCTCTTTTTATTGTGGCGAATGAGCTTGCCTGACTTGCTCATGTAGGGACCACTGTACTAGGTTGTCCACTGACTGGTGTTGTGAAACCTTCTCTTATTATTGTGGCAAATGAGCTTGCCTGACTTGCTCTTGTAGGGACCACTGTACTAGGTTGTCCACTGACTGGTGTTGTGAAACCTTCTCTTATTATTGTGGCGAATGAGCTTGATTGACTTGCTCTTGTAGGGACCACTGTACTAGATTGTCCATTGACTGGTGTTGTGAAACCTTCTCTTATTATTGTGGTGAATGAGCTTTCAGTTGAAGGTACCATTGTACTAGGTGGTATTATTGTAGGTACTTTTGTACTAGGTGGACCTTTTTCATATGTTGTTGAAAGATATTTTGTTGAGGAAACCATTGTACTAGACACAATTTCATCACCCTTTTTCCTAATTGGTGCTCTTGTAATATGCTTACCATCTGTACTGGTCTGAACTATTGTTGGAGGCTTGACAGAGCTGGGCAATCCTGGTGTTGGAGGTACTTTTGTATTAGCTTGTGTTGTCCATGGCATCCAAGTAGTTTCTTTCTGATTTTTACCTGCTATTGAAGTCTTGGCTGTACTGGATAATCCTGGTGTTGAAGGTGCTTTTGTACTAACTTGTGTTGTCCATGGTATCAAAGTAGTTTCTTTCTGATTTTTACCTGCTATTGAAGTCTTGGCTGTACTGGATAATCCTGGTGTTGAAGGTGCTTTTGTACTAACTTGTGTTGTCCATGGTATCAAAGTAGTTTCTTTCTGATTTTTATCTGCTATTGAAGTCTTGGCTGTACTGGATAATCCTGGTGTTGAAGGTACTTTTGTACTAGCTTGTGTTGTCCATGGCATCCAAGTAGTTTCTTTCTGATTTTTATCTGCTATTGAAGTCTTGGCTGTACTGGATAATCCTGGTGTCGAAGGTGCTTTTGTACTAGCTTGTGTTGTCCATGGCATCCAAGTAGTTTCTTTCTGATTTTTACCTGCTATTGACGTCTTGGCTGTGCTGGATACTCCTGGTGTCGAAGGTGCTTTTGTATTAGCTTGTGTTGTCCATGGTATCAAAGTAGTTTCTTTCTGATTTTTATCTACTATTGAAGTCATGGTTGTACTGGGTAATCCTGGTGTTGATGGTGCTAGTGTAGTCAAGGAGAAAGGTGTTGTCCATGGTAACCAAGTAGTTTTTGTTTGACATGTGATGGGTCCAATACAGAGGACCAAGATTAACACACTAGAACTGACACGTTTCATCTGAAATGAAAAATGTGTAATTTAAAAAAAATCAAAATTTATACTCAAGCTTAAAATTGAATGTGGATGACTTGAAAAAATTGATATGTTTGGTTTGTCTCAAAAATTCTTTCCTAGTAAGAGTAAAATAAAATTTTATAATATAAATTATGTACATGTATTTGGTATTGTGCCTATTTTCTGATAAGACCATGCAGTTGTGAAAATTACAAACCTTTTATCTGTCTTTATCATACTCTGAGAATGCTCTGGAAACTGCATCAGTGTCTCCCAAACCTGCATCTGGTCTCTGAGTACTAGATTCTTTGAAGTGTTTTAATTTTTTTTGACAATGCTAAATGGCTGTTTACTTTCACAAGATCTCATTTGAATATGTAGATTTTAAAATTTGACAATATAGTTGATGTTTCTATTGTTTCTTAATGTTCACTAATTTATCAGTATGTTATGTAAATCATAAAACTGGAATTGAAGATTGTAATTAATATAAACATCAATAAGCAGAAATCTTATTGATGATCGAGAGTTCACATTGATTTTTTAACTTATCACTATTAAAATACGGTAAAGCTTTTGTAATTGAAACATCTTTGGTAACTTTGAAAAGTCTTAAAACTTAAACTTATTTCATAGACTATTGAGTATTCCGTAATTCCACGGTGTGGACGGAATTTGACAAAACTTCAATTTTTTGCAGAATCCCTGATTTTCATGAAAATCCCGCGGAATTACCAGAATTTCCAGAAATTACATATTTTACGATCTCCTACCTTTGCGGGGTATTTGAAGAGTGTCTGTTTATGTCCAACAATCAATCATTATTGAGTACAAGTACGATTTCACCGTGAAATTCAACATTCTATCACGTTTAAATTCGCTAAAGCGAGTTCGCTAATGACGCGCAGTTCTTACCTAGAAAGTAGCTGACTTCTGTTTCCATTTTTCATCGTTTTAAAAGATTGCAGAATTTGGACTTTTTCTGAAAATTTGTGCAGAATTTCGATTTTCTCCTTGCAGAATTTGCTTTTTTTCTTGCAGAATTTTTTGCAGAATTTTGATTTTTTTCATGCAGAAAACTAGTATCTGTGTTATTTACAACCTACATACAGAGGTTCATTTAACATTAAGTCATTTGGTCATGGGACTTTGAAAAGTGTTTTCCTTACTGAGAGAAGTTCATTTAACATTTGGTCATGGGACTTTGAAAAGTGTTCCACTTTTGGAGGTTTTCTACTTATACAGATGTGTTCCACTTAACATTTTTAACTGTACTTAATTGTCTTTTCCATTGTGTAAATCATATAAAGTTTAAAGTTTGATATAACTCCTTTACAATACTTTTCAACAATAGAAGTTAATGATGTTGCCCTTTGTGCAGTTATAATATAGAATGTAACCCATCTTCTCTTTGATTGCAAAGTGTTGAATGCCTATGTACACACCCCTATTTTCTATTTCTGTAGAACATGGAACATGGAACATGCTCTCAGTACTTCTACTTTAAGGCTCTGTCATTAAAGATAACTATAAACCACATTTGAAATGCATACTAGCTAACTTTATTCATACAAACTTTTCAAGTTTGTACACGTCATCATATAACATATTTGAAATAACATACATGTATAAATAAAATCTCTGTAAAATGCATGAATGGATCTATAATATATAACCTATATTTTGCACAATGCAGTTTAAAAATCTACATCCCACCCCTGTCAACAAAATTCTGTGCATTATCATGGAGTGTCAATGTCATTAAATGTTGATTATATGTACATTGCATATGTATGTTAAGTATTTCAGTACATTATTGAATTTTGAAAAATTTGTCATTTAAATTATTAAATGAGGATGCCCAAATTTTTGTAATCATAATGAAAAACCTCAACTGTTTTATTTTTTTGCTATCACTTTCTATCTTGCTCTATCTTGTATTCTGAATGAATATACCTTAGACAATCAAATGATTTCTACAAAAACTATATTCTGAAAATGTTGAAGCTTTTAAAAATAATGATTTTAACATGAAAATGGTTGTAAAATTCCTCAAAACATCTTTTTTTTTAGTAAAAACAACCATGAAAATTGCATGCTGGGGATCCCCATGCCCCTCCCCATAGGATGGCTTCAATGTAGGGCTTCAATTAGTAGGCCTTTTGGGCATTACTTGGCCTTTTTGGGCCTTATTTTTAACTTGTTTTTCTGAATTGAAATGTACATCTGCCAGCCAGTGTTGCCTACTATGATTTGAAAGCCATGCTAAAGTTGTAAATGAATACATTCATGTCCATCAACAAAGATCATACATTCATCAATGTTGTGATCTCCCATAGGTGCTATGTCCTGATTTTAGCAGTTTTTCAAATTACCTGTGTTAGTAGAAACTTTTAGAGGTCACTTTGTGCGCTCAAAAATGTTTCACATAGGAGGTGTTCCATTTACAGAGGTTCATTTACAGGGGTTTCCTTAGAATTTCTCACAACAGGCTAAATAAATGAAAACAACAGGCAAAATTAATGGAAATTATGAACGTTATGTTATGAATGTAACATGGAAAAGACCCTGAAAACAACAGGCGATTTTGTGAAAACAACCAGTGAAAATGGCCTGTTACTAAAGAAACCCCTGATATAAAGTGGGCCATGGGACTCTGGACAGTGTAACACTTATGAAGGTGCTTAATTTACAGAAATATTTGGCTTGACAATTTTAACTGACATGATGCTAACAGATTTTCAACTGGTTAGCCTGTAGTTTTCAAATTTTCAGTATGAGCAGCACTCAGTTGCTCTTATACAAGGGAGATCTCTGCAATGATTAAAATAAATATAATATAACATGAGATATTTCACTTAGAATGTCTTCTGATATTTAGACCTCAGGCCTCCTAGACTTCCAACAACGCGAACATCAGTTATGATACCACGAACTACGTTCCTTGCACTCGAACCACGAATCTCATATTGCGAACGTGAAATCTTATGTCGCGCACCACCATTTCCTTGTGTCCGAACATATTTCTTGTACCGCGCACAAAGATCCGTTACCGCGAACCACGCATCTGATCGAAAAAAGTCCGTAATTTTGTTCGTATTATTACGCATAAGTGTAATTCCAAAGAGGTGTTTTCATGTGGAATGCGGAAGAAATATTTTCCCAGTTTTTCATGCATGTGAATGAATATCCAATCATTGACGATAACAGTATTTTCAAGCTCTAGGAAACACAAGCTATTGGGACTACCTTGCAATCACGCGCATTGACATTTTCAGTGAAAGGGCTGGGTAATAACAACAAAAACCTGACTTATGAGTAACAACACGTATGGCCAAATTAGTGACATCTCTGATCACAGGGCTTCAAAATCCAGAATATCTTCTTTCTCTTTACCAGCTTTTTCCAAATTTGTCCATTTGAGCCGATGATTGCATCATAATAAAGAAATGAGTTATCCTATGTACAATATTCCTGATTTTATAGAATACTTGATGTGCTATATCTGTCGCTCCAGCTACTGATAATTTGAAGATGCTACCCTTTGCCTGTCAACGTTTTAAATGAAAACTTAACTTAAATGTTGCCCCCTCCCCCATTACGGCTTGTGGGATTAACTGTTTACATACAGGAAAATAACAATCTATCATCCTGATAAAGATTTTAACACTTGGTTTTTCTTTCAAAACATATCAAATGACTACTAAATCGCAATTTAAGGGTAAGGGCTAAGAATACTTTATCTGTCTAATCTTTGACTGTCTGAAATAAATGTGTGTTGACGAGTCCTGTAATTAATTAATCTTGGTTTTAAAACCGAAGCTTTCATTGTGGGCTGTTCTGCCCCACGCATGAGCCATTTTGCCCTACTCTCAACATTATTTTCGGACACTCTGAAAAATCACAGAAAATGTGAAATAGAATCCCTTCATAAGATGGGACATGAAAATTCGCGATGATCGACAGATTAGAAAAACCTCTGCACGGATCAAACTATTATGAGGGCCGTTTTGCCCCATGTTCCCAAAAAATTCCTGACTTCAGCAACCAGGACGATATCTGACCCAAGACATGTGGAGCGCTAAAATGTCGGACCCTTTTTTTCTGGGCCCATCTCAGAGGGAGGGGCGGGCCAGTGCATCTACACAGAACACAGCCATAACTGATTACTACAATGTAGGTGTACTGTATAAAAGTAAACCTTGTAGTTAAAGGTCGCATGATGCAGTGTGACCAGGATCACACTGACCATGGTGAGAATGACCTTAGACATGATGGTCACATGAAAAGGTCACTGTAAATAGCTTTAAGTAGGAGCATAGGAAAGGTCAATGAACAGAGTCTTTTGAATTTTTCAGAAAATGTGCCCAATATATTGCTCTAAATGATAAAATCTTTAAAATTTTAGAAACTTGTCTGAAAAAATGGCGGTCATAAAAAGGAAAAAAATATCGCTTTTACAAATGACATCTCCTATTACACCACACCGTGCGCAGATACTCTCTGATCCCAAAAATGAATGACTGTGGGACGCAGTGCTTTCCTTTGACACATCATTTAAAGCCCTGCCAACTCGGGGCGTGGATGTTAATCTTAAGATTATGTTTCAAAATACAGTGACGAATGGGTCATCTAACATGCAAGTGCATGCTTTTCATAGGAACGAAAGTCCGGCGAAAGCGGAGGAGAAACTGAATTTCGTTTCCTTGTTTCACTCCGTTGCATGGTATATACATGTAACTTGGAATCCCAAACACCCGGATGTATTATGTACAATTTGTTCGCGGTAACGGATCTCTGTGCGAGGTACAAGAAATATGTTCGGAAACTAGGAAATGGTGGTGCGCGACATAAGATTTCACGTTCGCGATATAAGATTCGTGGTTCGAGTGCAAGGAACGTAGTTCGCGGTATCAGAACTGATGTTCGCGTTGTTGGAAGTCTAGGAGGCCTGGACCTGTATAAAGGACAAAAAGGGGACTCAGGATGGACAAAAATGACCAGG